AGCAACCGGGAGGGGCAGGGGGCGCTAGGAGCGAGGGCTCGGAGCCAGGCCCTGCAGGCCACCCCGGGGCCGGGGCCGGGGGCGCGCGACAGGGGTGAGGAGAGGGTGGGATCACGGATGAGTCACCCTTGGGGCCACAGGGCGGGAGGGCTGGTGGCAGCCGGCCAGCTTGTTGTTTGGAGGAGGGAGGAGAAATTCTGATCTCCACTTGAGAGCTGTTAGGTTGAGGTGCTTGCGAAACACCGTGGGGAGCAGTCAGGGAGGCGGTGGGGGTGGGCCCCGCAGGGGCGCGGGGCCTCAGGGAGGCCCTGAGCCGTGTTCCAGGACCCAGCAGCAGGGTGGTCAGCAGCATGGATTGTTCCCGAGCTGGGGGGTCCTGCGCCAGGGTGTGGGGGTTGGAACAGCAGTGCCACCTCGGCCACCCCCTGCCCAGCGCCAGCCTGGGGGGCTTGGGAGACGGAGGCGCTGAGGCAGTGTTCCCGCATTCAGCTACTCGTGCGCCCCAGTCTTTGCCCCCCTGCTGTGGTTGGTCACCAAGAGAAAAAGGAGCCTCTTGGGTGGCCACAAGGGTAAAACGAGGTAGGCCCTGTCCCCCAGCACACGTCGGCCGTGCCTGCCCTGCCCAGCAGCTAGGAGGGACAGCTGCCTTGCGCCGCCTCGGTCGCCCGCAGACCCCGGGGTGGACGGCACCCAGACATTCAGTTCAGCGCCTGTTGGCCACCAGCGCCCTGGCCTATGCCAGGGGCCCGAGCCCTGCCCTCGGACCCCCACTGCTGTGCACCTCCACACTGACCTGCACTGTCCAGACACCCCAGGTGCCCACCCAGACCTGCTGACCCCCAGCCCCCCTCACTCTCCCCGACTTGGGAGGCAAGAGGCACCGTGGGCCCTGACCACACGGAGCCCTTCTGTGCTGCCCCATGCCGGCCGCTGCAGGTCAGCCACCAGGGCCTGGGTGAGACTCTTAATGTCATCCTGTGCCCCTGCTGTCCCCTTCCCCCAGGAACTGCCCCTGGGCTCCCAGGAGACCCCTGACCGACACTCACCCCAGCCCCGAGGCCTGGTTGGGTCTGGTTTGCAGTCTGGTTCTGCTGGCCTACCACCCTGCTCCAGATTGTGGGGCCAGCTGGAGGTGGCGGTGGGTCAGCCACCTCTGCTCACTCCATGGTTTTGGGGTGGGAGGTGGCATGTTGAGCTCAGAATCGGTGAGCTGCCAGCACCGTCCTCCCTGGGCCTCTGACCCTGCATTTTCATTCTTGTCCTGGAGGAGCTAGTGCTGTCCCACTCACAGGGGGTGTGGAGGTGGCCCCCGTCCCCGTGTCCCCAACACTGACGGGCTAAGGCACTGTTGGGGAGTGGTTCGTCAATTCCCTGTGGCTGGGCAGAAGGGGCTTGTTGTGTGGGACCCCCTCCCAGGATGGAGACAGCCGTGCTGGGGCCATGTGCCAGTGGGACCGTCCCTTTGAGCAAGCTCGTGGCTGAGCCTCGCGACCGGCCTGTTTGGGGGGATGTGGAGGGAATGCTCGCTGTGGCCTCTGTTTCCTGTCATTCAGAGAGCGGCGTTGGGGGTGGGGGCCGGGGCGCTGACTGCCCACATTGGGCAGACCACGTGGTGAGCGCGGGGCCATGGGGAGCTGCGGGGGGGCGGGGTTCCTGGGAGCCCTGCGCTCTGGGCGTCTGGCGTGGACACGAGCCTCTCCCCACAGGTACCCCCTGTACCAGCTGGGGAACCCCCAGCTACGCGTCTTCCGCACCAACTTCTTCATCCAGCTGGTGCGGCCCGGCACGGCCCAGCCCGCAGACACCGTGCAGTTCCGGATCCCCATGGAGTGAGTTGGGGCTCAGGCCGGGGCGCCCCCACAGCCCCCCACCGCAGCTGCTCCACGGGGCTCGGCGAGTGCTGGCCGAGGGTTTGCAGAGGCCGGGCAGGCCCTCTGCCTGGGGAGGCCACTGTGCCCGCTGCCTGTGCCCATGACAGCATCTCTGTCACTGCTCTTCCCAGGGCACGGGCCGAACCCCCAGGGCTGCCCACCACAGTGGCCAGAACCTCAGTCCCCCAGGGACCTGCAGTACTGGGGCGCAGCCTCCCTGTCACCCAGCCCGCAGGGAGCGCCTCTGAACCCCAGGATGGGACTGTCCCAGCCGTGGGCCTGGGGTGGCTTGAGCTCCATGTGGGCCGAGGGCCCAAGGGGCCCGACACATTTATGGTGAAGGGGAATGGGTCCTGCCACCACTTAGTGGGGTGGCAGCTGCAGACGGGAGGCCAGGCTGGGCTCCCTGCAGCCAGGGGGCACTCATAGACCGTCACTTCCCCTGGGAGTGTTCCCCGGGAGCTCGGCCTCTCGGCCTCTCCTGAGCCTGGGCCACAGGAGGGTCAATGGAACTGACCGAGTCCAGGGCTCCTGGGGGCCCAGTCTTTCCGTCACCTCCAGGCCAGGTAGGGGCCAGCTGCTGGTCCCCGAGGTTGGGCCAGCATGTCCCAGGTCCCGGCTCTTCCCTGCTGTGGCCGGCGAGGCTATGCCCCCAGCCCATGGCTCTCAGCCCATAGGCTGAGCTGCTTCCCGGCCGGGCTCAGATGTACCCGCTTCTCTTCCCCACAGGATGACCAGGGTGGACCTGAGGGGTTATCTCCAGCGCATTTACAACGTGCCCGTGGCCGCCGTACGGACAAGGGTGCAGCACGGTGGGTGCCTGGGCCTGGCCGCCGCCCCGCTGACTGTGTGGGCCCCCCACTCACCCAGCTTCTCTGGGCCACGAACCCGCCTCATCCTCGCTACGCTCCCTGGGGCCTGGTTCTCGGCCTGGGACGCACGGGGTGTCGAGGCCACTCCAGGGGTCATACTGGTCACAGTCACAGGGCCGAGGTGGGTTCAGGATGGAGCAGAGCCTGGATTCGGTGAGCTGGCTCCGCGGGCTGCTCTGTGCAGCCGCAGACCTCGGCTGGTCAGCCAAGCGTTTTCTTTGTCCTCTTAAGCCTTTCCCCTTCCTTCCCGGGGACCCCGTCTCCCTGCGTTGTGGGTCTGAAGGCCTTTGGTCTGAGGCGGGGACACCAGCGAGAGCCGCCACACTCGCAGAAGTGGCTCTGAGTTCTCAGACACAGCGGGGCCTTTGCAGAGCCCACGCCAAGTCCTGCTCTCGCCCTGCAGTGCGGTCTGAACCCAAAGCCGCCACCTTCGCGGTGCACGTCCTGTCGTCTGCAGACAGACCGGTGCTGACGTGCACGTCCCCTCCAGAAAGGGGTTCGGGAGCCCTCAGAGTGAAACTTCGGGGCAGGCAGTCAGACGCCCCTCCCCCCACAGGTTCCAACAGGAAGCGGGACCACAGGAACGTCAGGATGAAGAAGCCAGACTACAAGATGGCCTACGTGCAGCTGGTGAGCGGGGTCGGGCCGCGGGCCGAGTCCTGCGCCCGCCGTGGCCGGCAGTGCCTTCGTGGGGCACCCAGGCCAGGGTGGCCTGGAGCGGCAGGATCTCAGGGTCCACTGCTCTTAGTCCAGATCCTCGGTGGCGCCCCAGGAGGAGCTGGGGTTCAAAGCACAGTTAAGCCAGGGGGAGGGGACGGCCAGGCACTTGGAACTTCTCAGGGGCCACCCCTGTCGAGAGCCTGAGAGCCTTTGAACTTTGAACGGCTGTGGGCAGAGCAGGCCCACCCAGGCCTGAGGGATTTGGGCCCTGACGGAAACCAGATCAGGCCTCCGGACAGCCTGTCCCTGGTCGGTCCCCAGGCCAGGAGGCAGTTAATTGCACTAAGTGCACAGGTTGCTGCAGGGAGCCTGGGGGGCAGAGCCCAGACCAGTTTGCTGTGTCCTGAGGTCGGAGCGGACCCCCTCCCCTCTGGACTGGAATGCGGCCTCGGGCATTTCCGTCCAGGTTCCCCGTGCCCCCCACCTGGCCAGACCCGGAGTTCTCAGGAGTTAGACACACGTTTTCAAAGCCCCCCTTTCTGCCTCCTCCGCTGTGAGGTGACCCCAGAAGTGCGTGCTTTCTCGGGCGTGCTTCTGACTGACACCGGGGCCTTGTGGGCTCCAGGCAGGGTCCCCTCTGACCTGGGCGGGTGGCCTCAGCCTGCTGGCGCCAGGGTGGGAACCTCCCAGGGCTGCCCGGCCCCGGGCCCATTAACTGCCCCTCTGCCGGGGCGGCCTGGGGGCTTCCTGGGCTTCTCCAGTTTCTGTGTAAACAGCCAGAGCGGCGGGGCGTGGGGCGCGGCCACCGGCCACCGGCCACTAGATGGCAGTAGCGCCACTGCGAACCCCGCCCGCGGCCGCTCAGCTTCGGGGCTGTTGGTCAGGAAACCAAGTCAGCGTGGCAGCTTTTTGGGAAAACAGTTGCAGCTGTTGTCCTCGACAGGGGCCTCGTAATTATTTGGCCTAATATTTGCTGTGCATAAAGTCAGCCCGGGCAGGGGGAGAGCACCGCTGGCCTCATAAAGAGGCCTGTGTCCTCCGCGCTCAGCCTGCCGGCCGTCTTTGTCCTGGCATGCGGTCGCCACCCCGTGCGTCCGCATTCGCCACGAGGCCCTTCGCAGGCGAGCTGTAGTTACAAGTGGCCTTTGAGTCACCCGAGCCTCATGTTGTCCCTCGGCCCCCGCCCCCGACGCATGAAAACTGAACTGGGCAGCGCCTGGACCTGCTATCTGCAGCTGCCCCTCGCTCCACGGGCCTCTCTTCCTCTGCGGACCCCGGGTGGGACAGACAGGCCGCCCTGCTGGGCACAGACCCTGCCACTGCAAAGTCAAATTTGTGATGCCCCCGGCTCCCGTGGCCAGGAGGTCGGGGAGCGCCTCTGAGCGAGGGACCCTCCTCTGTCCCCTGAAGCTGAGGCCGACCTCCCCGGAGTGTCCCTTTGGGCCCGCTTGGGGCTTCTGAACACAGCTGATTGTAAAGCACACAGAGGGTCAATCAGAAAGACAGATTAAGTCGCCAGGTTCCTTGTGAGCCGCTGCTGCACCCGCTGGGAGTCCCACACCCCCCACCCCACACCCCACAACCTGATAAACATCTCTTTGGCCCAAAGTCCAGCTCCAGCGAGGGCCTCAGTGGCCCACACAACAAACAGCGCTGACCTGGTGTTTACACAGCGGCAGGAATGAATGGCCAGCGGCGGGGCCCAGCAGGAGCCGTCCGCAGACAATGGCGCTGGGCTCCCAGGACTGCTCCGGGGCTGGCCTCCTCTCCTCGCTTTTTATGACATTTTTCTGCTTTCCTGTACTTTTCCACCATCCGCTTCTCTCTCCCGTTTGGAAGCGTTGAGGGTGTCGTTTTTGAAAGTACGAGGTGAATTTCTCTGGAAGGGGAGCCACAGTCGGCACCCACAGATGGTCACGGCTTCCTCCGCCCCCCCCCCCGCCCCCACAAGCTATTGCAAATTGCCATCTTTGTATTTATATTTAAAATGTCATTTTAGGTTTCCCCCACCTCAGAAAACTAGCAGAATCACCTCGATATATTAAACATAACCCCCCTCCCGCCCCCCGTTCTGGGCAGTCAGCCCTGCATGTAAACTATTGCCCTTTGGTATTTTAAAAAAGAAAAAAAAAAGTCTTGAAATGTGTAAGATAATCCTCCCGCGGGCTGGCTACCGAGTCCCCCACGGCTGCTTCTCGTCACTCCAGGCCTGCACCCCGCGCCACGTGACCTGAATGTATAAACCGAACATTCTCGGGGGGCGCACAGGCCGTGTCAGCTCGTACTTGGCCGGCCGCCCGCCCACGTCCACATTTCTTTGCAAAACAAGGGTCTGCAAGAACCAAGCACGTTTTGCTGAGTTCACTTTTTAGAATTCCCAGATATGGTGCCGTCCTCACCTTCCGAGCCGGTCCGGGGCGCCCCCCCCTCCCCAGCCCTTATCTTTGGAGCCAGAACCCTCCACCCCCCCGCACTGGGAGGCCGGCCCCCTGGCCCCGGCCTGGGATCTGGGTGCCCTGGGAGCACACGTTCTGAACCTTCAGTGTGAGGCGTGGGCCGCCGCACGTGCTCATTTCTTTGTCTGCCATTTGCGTTTTATTTGCCGGGCTCTGGGGTGGAGGGGCCGGCTCTGTGTGGCTAGAGGCCTTCAGGTATCGGGGATGGAAAAAGTTTCCGATGCTACTGGGGCCGTTTTCCTGCACCTGGCTCCTGCCGGCCACAACCGGCCACCACTCCCCATGGAAAGGGGTCACTGTCGGTAGCCGTCCCTCTGCCAGGCCCACTGCCAGACAGAGGCCGGAGCCCAGCTGCCTAAGGTGTTTCCTCTGCAGGCAGGGACCCTGCTGGGGGCACGGGTGGGAGCCGGCCCTGGGCAGGTGGGGCAGGAAGGCTCTGTCCCGTTTCCTGTAGCGAGCGCGTGGTGGCCCCAGGCCGGCCCTGCTGGAGCGGGTCTTCTCTCTCCTAGGCCCACGGACAGACCTTCACGTTCCCAGACCTGTTTCCTGAGAAAAAACTGGGCCGTGAGGGTGGCTCTGCCGAGGATGACGTCCCGGCCAGGCTGCTGGAGGAGCAGCGGCGGAGGCAGAGCCGTGACCCCCGGCGCGGAGGTGTCCCCGACTGGTTCGGCCTGTGACAGCCCGAATAAAAGTGCCGTGTGCAGACGAGGACCACAGGCGCTGTCTCTGTTTCCGACGTCCGAGGGCAGGCCGAGGCCTGGCCTGCTGGGCATGGGGCGCGTCCCGCTTGTGCACACTGCGGCCCGGGTGCCCCTGGAACCCCTCGCACGGGAAGAGGGTGCACCTGGGCCACCCTGTCATATCCAGTTCCGGTCCCCTGAACCTAGCAGGAGGCCGGGACCCCCATTCCAGGGCAGGAACGAGACGCAGCCGTGAAAAGCTCCCAGAAAGTGACTGAGCGTCCACGTTTAGGACTCACGTCCGGGCGTGCTGTGAGGAGGGGCCCCCTGAGGGCCCGGGGCAGGGCGTCGCCAGAGGGTCCAGGCCCAGGCCCCAGTCTGGCCGGGGGCTGCGAGGGCCCGTGGAGACACCCAGGGCCAGGTGACACAGCCGAGGGCAGCAGGCGGGAAGGGGGGCCAGCTGTGGGAAGGCGCCGGTCCAGGGGCTCAGACCAGGGGATGGACAAGGGGACACTGGAGACCCTCAGCGGGTGGGGTCTGACGGGCCCGTGGAGCCGGGGCCCAGCTCTGCACAGCAGCTTCCTGCCAGCCGGCTGCAGCTCTGCCCGTCTGCATCTGAACTCTGCCCTTAACACCCCACGGGGCAGCGTGGCTGCCGCTCGGACACTGGAGAAGGGACGAGGCCACTGTGGGGCCAGGTCTGTGAGCGTGCGCGTGTTCGTGTGCGTGTCTGCATGAGTGTGTCTGCCTCCGAGCGTGTCTGCGTGTGTGAGCGTGTGCGTGTGAGCATGTTTGTGTGTCCGTGGGAGCGTGTGTGCGTGTCCACGTGGTTTGAGGCCAAGGGGCTTAGGTCTAGAGATCTGGGGAGCAGGGACTAGAAGGACCCCGGCTCCTGGGGGGCCCACCATTCAGGGCTCTCGGGCTGTGGAACGTTCCAGAGCACTGCCCTGCTGTGTGTGAGCCAGGGCCCCCGCCCCTTCCCTCTGGGGGCCTTGAAACGGGAGACAGAAACAGGGGGGCTGGCTCGGCCTCTCCCCTCCACCCCGAGGGACACCCGACAGGATGGCGGCTTTGCGTACCCCTCCTGGAGGGTGAAGGTCCGGGCAAGCTCCGCCCTTCAGTGTTGATTTAAGTGGCGGGAGGGTCGGGAGTAGCCCGGACACCGAGCAAAATGGTGTTTTCCTTAGAGAAATAATTCATGGGGCCCTGCCTCCCCGAGGACCCCGACTCGGGGCTGGGAGAGGAATCTCATCCTTCATCAGCCGCAGCTCAGCGCCAGCCGCCCCCGCGCAGCTCCCCCGGCCGGGCCTGCAGACCCTCC